CGGCACAGAGCGAGGTCCCAGAGGTCTGACTCTGGACAACGCCACCTTCCCAGTATAGACGGTGGACTGGAGACACAGAAGCAGAGAGAAAGAAGCGGAGACAGTCCCCCTGCCTCATTAAAACATACACACTCTCCGTTCTCTGCAGGGAATTCGCACAGAATCCATACGTTTCACTGAATTTTCTCTCTCTTGACTCTTTTTAAGTCTTTAAGTCGAGAAGACGTGCAGAGTAAAGCATCGTCGTGGGGTAGAGGAGCTGAGCGCAGCAGAGTCGAGTCAAGGGAGGAGGAACTTAGGGGGAGATTCGCAGCGAGTAGCTGATCTGCTCCCTCAATCTGTGTTTCTGCAGGGTGCCCTAATCAAAGGCGCCCGGGCCCGTCTGTGACACCCACAGCAAACAGGCTGGGTCTGTCATTAAAGCTGGGGAACGCAGCGGTGGGCGACACTACCCCACCAGCCCCGGGGATTAGACTCTCTGTTTACACCCCACTAATCTCGTCCCTCCGTCCTCTCGGAGAAAAGACGGGTGGAAGTGAGGAGAGCGTGGATGGAGAGAATGAAGATCGCGCGAGAAGGGGAGAACATGAAGGAAGATGAGGCGAGCTCTCATCTCTCCATGGCCACCATCACTGGGCTCTCTTCACAGCGGGTGAACAGATGAAATGAAATCAAATGCGAAATGGAGAGAGAGTGGAGACGGCGAGCGATAGAGAGCGGAGGGGAGTGGTGGGAAGGAGGAGGAGGAGGAGACTAAACCTCCTGCCAAGTCTCTCCTCACTTTAAATTCTCGTGTCCCAGCCATTACTGTAAGTGCAGCGCATAACCACAGAGCGGTCCGAGTGCGTCGCACAAATCTTCAAATCAAACATTGCCACATTACAGGCCGATGATGATACGACGTGCAGTGCTATCGCCCTGCTTATGCTGTATAAGCACTTTTCTGCCCCCAAATATTCATGGCTGCGCCGTAATTGTGAGGCTGGGAAAAATCGAGTTATTAAAGGTGCTCTTCACGAGCGACCCCGATGCCTCTCAGCAGGGCTGTGGCCTCACGCTGACCTCTAGCAGCAGGTGTTTTCATACTAAAGGAGAAAAAGAGGTACGCAGGTCCCGCTTTTTTCATCTCTGCCGACACTATCCGTCTTTCTAGACGCGCCTCTTAAGTTCGAAGCTAAGCGTTCTCCTTTTTATCTGCATCTACCCCTTGTGAAGGTAAATCTCAGGTCAAGGCATTTTATGTAAGCGCACAAGAACGAAGTGTATGCTATATAATTTAGAATTTCTCTCACAATCCGTTGCCAGAGGTTTGTTTTCTCCTTCGACTGCCAACGCTTTAGAGGCATGCACTCTCATGATGGAGTGAAAACAGGAGCATTATCATGTCCTGGCACAGACGACGGTGTCTTATGTTCGAAAGAAAAATCTCAAACGCCCGGGTGTAGTTACAGATAATTAGCTGATTTCACTAAGCAGCTGTTGGTTTTGGCTGCTGGAGAAAAGTGCATCTCTTTCTTTTGCTCCTTTAACGGAGGGAGAAGAAGACAAGTGGGGGAGGGCGTGTCCTCCTTTCAGAGAGCCTGAATCATTCATGTCGAAAGCATGTCAAATCTCCTTCACGCAAATAAATAAAACAGCTCAGGTTGACATGTTTTTCTGGGAGCCCCCTAATGGTTCTTCAGATATGCGCTTTCATTTTAGCAGCGCATTCTCAGTCAAATTCGCCTCCATCGTCAGGCGCCGAGCTTGGCCTGAACATCAAAGCCTGCTGCTGCTGCTGCACATGAATGTGCAGCCGTGCGACTCTCACTGTTAACCCTCACCTTTTAATAACACGGGCTGTTTTTGTGTCTGTGATGCAGGAAACATTCAAATTAGTGTCTGAAAAAAGAGGGGGGAAGAAAAATGACCTAAAAAAATGGGCAACAAGGGTTGGGGCCAAAAATTTCACTTACTACTTATGTAAACATAAGAGAGAGAAAAAGTTAATTAAGGCTTTTGAAAAATGCAAATATGTTACAATAAGAAAAATAGGCCAGATTTGCATGTTAAAAGTAAGAATATGCAGCTTTTTCTGAACAGTAGAAACAGTGACCTCTGTGGCCAGAACGGGTAATTACAGGATTCTGGTGCATTCAGCTCATAGACAGTATACAAAACATGGGTGTAGCAGTGATAATCTCACATGTGGTTCATTCTGGGCTGGCTTTTTTTGCTATACATACTTTTTTTTGAACAGGATATTATGATAACTGGACAAATTCATGTAGTTATATGAGAAAGCAAGCAAGTTTAGTCACCAGCCTGCTTTCCAAAACGGTATTAGTCAACCAAACACGCAGTTGCTGATAAGTCCAAGTAACAGACTAATAATATAAGTCCTCACACTAAAACTGGACTGCAGACGTCTTAGACAGACCTAAAAAGCAAGCCATAACGTGCTGATGAAAAGGAGAAAATATCCATAAGTCTAAAGTTGGGTATTTTAACACTGAAGCGTATGTAGACCTACTAACATCTACTGGAAGCTGCTTTCTCTCGTGACCTCTGTGAACACTGTCCTGCAGATTTTATAGATTCAGGAACTCATTTTGGTCAAATTAGTTTTGTTTTCTAATTATGGTAAGTAGGGATGGGTACCGGTATCCTGACATAAACGGTAGTAACCAGACCGAAAAGCAGCGCACATTTCGGTGCTTTATTTCGGTG